TATATATATAATTCATTTATAATAATATTTGTATGATATATCTTAATTAACCTTTGAAGTCGTGATACTTAATCAATTAACTTATAAAAATATACCTGTAATGATCCAGTCGTGGAACTACGTCCCATAGTCCGCCCATACTTAAAGACATAGAGGGCCTCTTATTACTCGGTAATTGTCCAATTACATCATCTTCTTGTGTTTTGCTCTGAAAACGATTCTCCATCTTGTCTAATCTGAAAAATTTTGCAAGCAACGTTTTATTCATTTTCCTGCTGTTCTTTTATATTACGGAAATCATTATTCTTTCGCATGAATAGTTAAGTAATAAGGTGATTAAATGACTAAAACGATAACAGTTGTAAAAGAAAAACAACAATTAATATAAAATAATATATATTTCCTCATGTAATATACACGTGTATCTTCTGTGTATATTGTATATACTAAAAAATATTTACTAATTCACTGAGTGTAAATATATATTTGTTTGGGGTATAAGAACCATTAATTAACTTAAGTATTTTTTTTATTGAAAATGTTTATTTACTATTAGTAAATGTTAATATTATTTAAACAAATATTTATTAAAATTTAGTAAATTTCTTTTTCAGTGTAATTATATGAATTTAACATAACGCGTAGTAACACATTCTCTTTAATATTGCGTACGTTACAATTTTTGGAAAGCAACATATGTATGTGATTCAGTATTGATTAGGTCTCATAGAGTGATAACAAGAACTAAGAGCAATTAAGGCAGAGGAGTACTTCACAGAAAATACTACATTTGTAAGCAATGAGTCAGAGGTGGATTAAATGTCTGATGTATGTAGGGCTTTTATACTTTAATTAATGATACTATACTAGGGACCGATCATCTTCAGATAATTTATTTTCCATGTCATTAGAACCGAAAACCTTAGAAACAAGATAAGATACTGTCAGACAAATCTATGTTTAAAGATTGTATCACGTTTGTGAACGAGTATGTGTATACATCACAAATGTGCAAAGAATATTATCAGTCTTACTCTTCATTCACTCTCTTCTCCCTACAGATTTATAAATAGTAATATGACTGCCGTTTCGCGGTATGCAAATTTTCGAGTAATTATTTGGCCACATTCCCAAAATTCAATCGTGCGGTTCAACGTCTTGCAAATTTGAAGATTTATTAGCGAGGCAGTTAAGAAATTTATAAGCAATGTTTCATGGTAACTATCTAAGAAAGAGGTAACAATGTATAATAGATTGTTGCAAAGTGCCAATTTTTTTATCACTTAAATGGGAACAGGAGTTAATTTTCATAAATAAGTTTATCTGTCTGAAATATGAAAGCGAAAAAATAACGCAATTATGTAAATAATGAGTTCTCGAAAAACTAAAGTGTTTTTATCTTTATTTTCTTTCTGTCTCTATCTTTTTAGAAATTCTCACTTTTTATAAAGAGCAAACTTTTTTGGCTATCATTTAATTTCAATATAAATATTATATTTTTACAATAATTATGAAATACGAAAATGAATTACGCCTTTGGCAGGTTCTTGATGCAATTTGATCGATATTCTTTATAAGGTCCAAGGACCGAGTAATTTAATAAGTGAAGAGAAAATCTATCGAAGACGTATTGTATGTTTGCTGATGTCAGAGACGCACGTCTCGAACCCTATGTGATAATGTGAAATAATATAAAAGAATAATATAAAGAAAATTGCTCATTCAGAAAAAGAAATGTTTTTTAAGTTTACTATAAGATTGTTTTCAGAATATTTAATCTAATTTTTTGTAATTTTGATTCATAATTTGAAATAGAATTCTACATATCTGAATTTGCCGAAAAGCGATACCATAAAATTTGAATTAATAAATTTAACATTTTTGACAATTTTTTTCAATAGATATAATAATTTTATACGTTATTTCATAAAACCAATTACTCTTTTATTAATTTTGATAAAATTGAAATCAATATTACAGTAACAGAATTTAAGACAACTTTTTACAATAATGTTCTATAAATTTCAACAATAAGTATTTAAATAATTAAATAAGAAGTTAAATTTCTTTGTCTAATATTAAATTTAATTTAATCTAATTTAAATTAGGCATCATTTGTTCTTTCTCTACTTGAGCTATTACCTGGAGTATTTTTATATCCCAATTAAAATTATTATTATTAACAACATATTGTATATTATTAATTATTTACCAATTTATTAATATTTTAGGATATTATAGATATAAAATTTGATCATAATTTTCTGAAAAAAGTAGAAACAAAAAAAATATTAAGTACGTTAAATAACTTATTATGACAGTAATTTAAAAAATAAAGGTTTTAATTAATATAATGTTTTTCTATTGCGAGTTTTTAATGGAATTGCATATTTATAAATTTGTACAGATAATTATTAAAAATTAAAAGAAAAATGTTAAATAATATCCTTACAAAGCTATATTTAACAATTTGGATTTTTTCGCCCCATTAGAATATAAAAACACCTCAAATGATTACTTCAGGGTTAAAAAGCTAAATTTTTTCTTATCTTTTTGTATTTAAAATTATATATAATTCTAATTTTTATTCTTAACCATAATTATAAATGCTTTGACATTTTATTTAAGTTTGCAACATTCAAAGAAAACAATTTTTAATAGATTTATTATTTTGCACATCATTTGACAAACTACGTCTTGTTAAAATCAAAAGAAAATTATAAATAAAAATCCAAGGAAAAATTATTAGAGCAGACAGACAGGAATTTATAATAGTACAAAACAAATGTAACTTTTAATAAAAATCTCGTATAATTTTTATCTTGCGCGAACTTTTCTTATAATTCGATGCACCGATGTATAATTACAGGTCAACGAAATGGAAAGCACAGTCAACCGGTAACTCGAAATCGATGACAAGCGCCTGCAGCGCGGCATAATTCACTTGTGTGAATTTACCATCGCTTCCCTCATACATATGCATGTACACCCCATGATGCCAAAACAAATAAATCTATAACGGTTTTACTTTCTATACACGCGGCTTTCGTTCTTGATCTGTTTCGACAATGATGAGATATTCATAATGTCCATGAACGTGCCTCTCATTGATGGTCGCTCCCTTTATCAACTTGGCTTGAAGCAAGACTTCAATTTATCATGCTTACGCGACAGGCAAATCGCAAACAGATAATCGATCAAAATAATACGTCAATTTTGAATTCTTTCTCCCGATGATTAAATTAATCTATTTAAAAGATAATAGCTTTCTAGCGACAACACGTTTTCAACAGTTGAATTGTTTATGACACATGTCGTTTGTGATATATTTATTATTAATAAATATTTTCAAATATAATTGTTTTTAAAATGCAAGAAATTTGCATTTCCTCTTTTATGAAAAATCTCTAAATTATTTTTTATTTACTCTTTTCTTATTTAAATCAAATTAATTAGCTAGCTTGAAAATTAATAAAATAGCATTTAACTATATTACAATGAAAAATAGTGCTGATTAAAAAAAGATTATATTTATATTAAATTAAAATTGTTGGCTCCCAATTTGTATCTGCAAATTTAGGTCGTATAACTGTATTATATTATGCGTTATATTCAATAATTCAATTTCTTTATATAGTAAGGAAATCGGATATTTTTAATCATTTATGTTAATTATATTTTCATCTGTATTTATACATTTTATAAAACATAGTAAAACATTGATATAAATAAAATCTAATTAGCTGAAGAAATTATAAAATGACTTAATTAAGAACATTTTAATTTACATTTTGAATCAAATAAGGCGAGGTCTGAAGTAATTAAGTCTGAAATATTTTTTAATTTTAAAAAGTAATAATAATTATATATTCACACAAAATCAATAATATAAATTACAATAAAAAATTTATTTACTACCAAACAAGAAAAGATTTAATCTTAAAAAACGTTACAACTAATTATTATATAAAATTTTATAAAAGTAATATATAAAATAATATACATAATATATCTAATCCAATGTTCCTTTTATAATTACAAAATATATTTAACAAGTATAATTCACATTTTACACCATTCAAACAATATTTCAATAATGCTGCATCAGTTATGACAGAAGAAATTAAAATTGACACAGATGGCAAGAAAAATGTATTTAAGCGAACGATACAATATCTAAATTTGATCTACTTGTTGGTTATTACATTTTACAATCGAGTGATATAAAATAATTATAGATACTGATTGTGAGATAAGACAAAAGTCGTCATCTAATCACAAAACAAAATTTTCGATACTCACGACGCAAGATCCGAGTGGAAGGATGAAAATTTAACAATCACCCACGATTTGCAATTCACAGTATTACTGAAACGATCCGCGAGAATCTGACACGAGGTCTGAGGATACTGAGCGTCGAGAAAACTTGAACCCCTCGTGGATCAAAATCCCCTCGAGTAACATTAGGGAAAGAAGCATGCGTCGGAACTTCCCTTTCCACTGCCCCTTACGCGTAATACACACGCGCAGTTCCGAATGCAAGGCTACGCGCGGAGTAACATTTTAAACAAATTGCCAATATACGGACGGCCGTCTAAAATTGTTCCAATTAACGCGAAGATTCCTCCGAAGGATTAACAGAGCTATGGCGCCGGCATGTGTGTCCCGCAAGGCACGCGAGAACGTGCGCGCATCGATTTTTTGAGTTTGCGTGGGCGAGTGCGTGCGCGTTTCGTAAACCTCGACGTGCTCGCGTAGGAAACGAGGGAAAAGGGAGGAGAAGGAAAAGAGGATAAAAGAAATGATGTTTCAAGAGAAACGAGCGCGAATTTTCATCGCGCTTCGTAGAAGTGCCACGAGCAAGAAATGCAGAGCGTCCACGACGTGAAATGAAAAGGCGTGAAGGTCGCCGTGATGGTTCACTCGCATTTCGAAATCCTTTGACGCCTCTTAATGCAGCAACGGCGCGAAAAGAAACAAGCTTCGTGAGCGTGTGTATGCGTGAAAAGTATATGGAGTAAATTTATATTACGAACAATGAGACTTAGAAAGAAATTGTGTTATAAAACGGATCTCGAAAAGAAAGTCACACGCGTGATAAAAAAAAAGCCATTCACACAAAAATAACATATAATTGTACGTTAAAAAGCAATTCAGTTCATTTTATTATTTATTACTTTATATTTAAAAATTACCTGACAGTCACTCTAAAAAAAGCTTCGGTGATAACAGTGCTGCAATTAGCCAAATTCCCACTTCAAAAATAACTGAACTTTGTCTATATTCGTGAAACGTACGTAAGTGACAAATTTATTTTACAAAAGTATTGTTCACGGAACGAAATTGCAGCGAGACAGTTTACTTCTCATCACTATCACGCGAGTTGCCGGAGGATGGCCATGCGATCGAATTCCGCAAGCGACTACTATCTTTTTCAGTGGTTCCGACATTTATATAGACGGCGAGGAACTGTCAATGCGGCCGATGATGTTGACTTAATATTTACGTTGACAAGTTAAGATATATGCCCATACTGGCACTGTCGCGAAAATACATTATCGAACTCTGTTATTCCAAAACTTATATATACTGAAAGGAAGTACTGATCAGCGAATAGATTATCTGCTCTTCTGCCGAGTTATTGTTTGCTATTGTTGTTACTAATAAGCGGTGCTGGCACAGATGATGCAATGCCGGTCTTTCCGTACTGAAATCCTTTACGCGGTTTTTGAAGTGCATTTTACAGTCACATTTTATTGTCATGTTTTACTGCCGAAGCATGAACCAAATCATTAAATCACGTTTTCAAATTTCTAAAAAAGAAATATAAGCAGAAGTAAAAAATATCTATAATATAGTGTTTCTAAAAAGGCAACTTTAATTCAAGCGTTATAGATATTTCTCATTGAGATAACATTTGTTATTCATGTTGTTCTTATCATTTCTAACGGTAACATAAATATTTATATTTGCCCGTATATTCAATATATTCTTTCATATTCTTTTCTATCTAAAATTTTTTAAATAATAAATACAATTTTAATAATAGATATTATAATAAAGAATGTGAAAAATCTGATGAATTCTTGAACTGATTTATTATTGAGTTAATAAAAATATGAAAATAAAAATTCAATGTACAATATTATATTATTAT